GACATTATTTAGCGAAATCGTTCCAAATTTGGTATTTGAAGTTCGTAATAGATACTGCAGCATAAAACAGAAAATGGGCCATATAGTCCAAGTCTTCATTTGGCCAATATACCGTACCCCCCGATTTTCGGTATGTTGATGATTTTATCGACATTATTTACCGGGATTGTTTCAACTTTCGCATGTGAAGTTCGTAATGGATACTTCAGCCCATGCCAGAAAATTGTCTGTGCAGGTCCACGTCTTCGTATAGCCCCCATATAACGGTATCCCCCATATACGGTATTTTAATGATTTTAGCTACATTATAAACAGATTTTTCTTCAAGTTTCGCATTTAAATATTGTAATAACTTATGACAAAAGTTGCCTATGCAGGCCCACGTCGTCGTATAAGCATTCGGCATTCTTAAGATATTAACAGAATTTTTAACGGATTTTATTTTTTGGAAATTGCCAAATTTGTACCAAATGGTGGAGGGTATTAAAAATTCGGCCCGGCCGAACTTACAGCTTTTTTACTTGTTTGCATCTATATTATATATTATACCCTCCGCTATAGTATGGAGGATATGTTAAGTTTGTCATTCCGTTTGTAACACCTCGAAATATACTTTTTAGTATATATATGTATATATTCTTGATCAGCATAAAATTCCATGTCGATTTAGCAATGTCCGTCCGTCAATACGTCTGTCCGTCTGAAATCACTCTAGCTTACAAGCGAAATGAAGTAGGTTGATACAATTTTACTTAAATATGTATTACGTCTGCAGGGCTTGCTATTGAAAATGGGTCACATAGGTCAACGTTTTGGTATGGCCCACCTCCCCCCACTTGTAGTTTCATTAAGCTCATAAGACGCAAAATTAACTTCCGTTTCCATTTAGACTTGGCACATCAGAATATTTCCATCAACACAGGATCGTTTTTAAAAACGGTACAGATCGGACCATTCTGGTACATAGGCTTCAAGATTTTGAAAAACAAAACGCTCATAGAAGGCAAATTAAGCGTCCAAATCTCTTCAAATTTTACACTTTCAAACATTTAAGCTAACACAAGATCTGTTGTGAAGATGATATATATCTGCGAACCCTTCTGCTAGCTCGCCTACAAAGGACTTCTCTGTCATAACTTGCGAAACAAATCAGCGATTTTTTACAATTTCCTATATCTAAATATTTTTCTCAACAAGAAACCTGAGATGAATATTGAATTTATGATTTCCCATAAATTTGATATAACTGTTAGATTTTCTTGTAATTTTGCTCATACCAAATTTTTTATATGTATTATATGAAGCAAAAAAATGGAATACTTCGGTCGACTATATCTGGTAACTCAAATACATTTCAACATCCCTAAAATTTATCATATATTTCATATAAATTGAAGGAAGTAGCCAATATAGTCCAAACGGGGCAAGTCACCACATTTATATCATATGTATTCAGGCCTGTACAAAATACTTTGTACATACTTTTGAGTGCGGTTGAGGCGCTGGGAAAAACTAGCAATAAACAATAAATATTCAAAAATTACATATTTCCCAGCCGCCATAAAATACCACATGTGAACAATTCGGTGATCTTGTGTGCTGACGCATACGATAATGTGTCAGATAATAAATGTTAATGTAGATGCACAAGACCACATGAATGAAATCACAAGCAGCCCTGCAATGTTCTCCATTCAATATTAGAATAGATAAGAATAATTGTGTGGCTGCGATTAGGTTAAGTTAGATTAGTTTCATTAGTACGTAAGGAACACATTTTAGAAATAAAATTAGAATTGAATCAACAACCAAACCTTTCGGTTGGTTTTCTCTTCTCATTCATTGGTCCTTCGAGCCGGATCGAGAATTGAAATAACACCCCAACGAAGCGGTCGTGTTTCTTTTCTCACTAAATATTGCTCCAGTCGAGCCGAAAACGGAATAGAAGAGGGAGATCGGACTCTATTCTTATCATTAAAAACATTGATCCTCCGAGCAGGATCCAAAATAGAATTGAAAGTACAGCCTAACCATTCGGTTGGTTTTCTTTTCTCATTTAAAAATTGATCCTTCAAGCGGGATCGAGAATTGAAATAAGACCCTAACGAATCGGTCGTGTTTCTTTTCTCACAAAATTTAAAATTGTAGGAGTTTTCCCTCACCACTGGTAAGAGACTCTCTACAAGTAAATGTAGCTATTTTTCAGAAAAAGAGGAGAATTGCTACAGAAAAGAAAGTCCGTTGAGGCATTTTTAAATGTAAGACCATAGGGGCATTTTAAAAATAGCCGAAGGGATTAATTAAATAAAAAAGCCATTAAGGCAAAAACAAAGCAAAAAAGCCACAGGGGCAAAATAAATAAAAAAGCCATAATGGCAAAATAAAATAAAAAACCATAGGGGCAAAAACAAAGTGAAAAGAGGACAACAAAAGTGCCAATAAAATAGGAAAATGTACAATTTTGAAAAGAGGACATTAAAAGTCCCAATTAAACAAGAAATAAATTAAAAAAATAATAATAAATAAATGAAACAAAGCCAAGAAAGCAGGAAAAAAAGGAAGAAGCAAAATATACAAAAAAAAAAAAAAAAATATATATATATATATATATATATATATATATATATATATATATATATATATATATATATATATATATATATATATATATATATATATATATATATATATATATATTAAAAATCAAAAAATGAAAAAGGAGTTCCAAAATCAAAAGTTCCAAGAAGAGGATCGAGAAAATGCAACAGCGTCAGGAGGTATTGAGCTCGAAAAGCCTGGCATCCTGACAGCAACAATGCTACAACAGTTTCGGGCGTTCCAGAAGGTGGTGCTGCAGCAGCAGCAGGAGCAAATGATGTCGATTATGGAAGACATTGAGCAGATGTTCCTAATGCAGCGATCCAGCAAAATAAAAAAGACACGGAACAAGAGGAAAGGTAAGTCGTCGAAGTTGAGAGAGATGAACAAGTGGAAAATTTAAGAATAACATGATGCCGTTCAACTAAAGCAGATTCCCTGCTTAGAAGTAAGTATTGTGAAATTGTTCCCGCCGGCAAGTCCTCATTTCGAGGAACGGAAAGAAGAACAAGAATCCGCCCTGAGCAATGAAGCACTCGGTGAAGAACGAATGGATTCACGTACAGAAGGCTCCAACATGTTCGGCGGATGCGGGGAAGATGAGTACAACAACGTTTCTAAAGGAAAAGAATGGATCGACGAAGTAGGAAAATCAGAACAAAGCTCTTTGGTTCCGCCTCCTGGAGGGTATTGCCTTGAAGAAATCAAGAGCAAACCAACAATGGCCGTGAGAATGGAAGATAACGAATCGGAGCTTACAATAAAGCCAACGGCAATCATTTGCTACGTGGGTGATGACGGTCTGCAGCGATGGACTACTAATGCGGCAGCATGGAAAATGAAGCCGGCAGATAAAGGTGGTGGTATCGGCAAGAGAGGCTGGATTAAACATTGGAGTCGTTTCCTGGAAGCGGTTAGCTGATATTATTTCAACATATATAGATAGTTACGCATAAATTTTCTTTTCAAATCTTTCATATCTTTATATTTAAATATTCCATATTATCCATTTGTTAATTTTATAAAAAATACAGTCCATTATAAACATGCACATTTAAGCCGCCCGAGAGAATGTACAAAATACTTTGTACATACTTTTGAGTGCGGTTGAGGCGCTTGGAAAAACTAGCAATAAACAATAAATATTCAAAATTACATATTTCCCAGCCGCCATAAAATACCACATGTGAACAATTCGGTGATCTTGTGTGCTGACGCATACGATAATGTGTCAGATAATAAATGTTATAACCCACATGTCCATATATCGATGCGCTCAGTAGATGCACAAGACCACATGAATGAAATGACAAACAGCCCTGCAATGTTCTCCATTCAATATTAGAATAGATAAGAATAATTGTGTGGCTGCGATTAGGTTAAGTTAGATTAGTTTCAGTAGTACGTAAGGAACATATTTTAGAAATAAAATTAGAATTGAATCAACAACCAAACCTTTCGGTTGGTTTTCTTTTCTCGCTCTTTTACAAGGCCCGACACGAAATGGTCAATATTGACCCATTCCTTCGTAACCTACTCCATAGAGGGTCGACAATTTGAATAATCATAACAGAAGTCAAAATATAATTAAATAATCGAACCTTGGTTGAAGGTATACATCTGTCAAATCGACTGACATTTTCTAACTTGTTTTTTTTTTTAATTTTGAATTTGTTTTTTTAGAACCACAAAACACTTTTATATAAAAAGTTGAATGCATAAAAACGAAAGGAGTAGCGAAGCGCGCCGGGTTATGCTAGTCCCGTATATATAACGGTACTTCCCGATATTCGGTACTTTGATAATTGTAGCCACATTTTTCAATGGAGTTGTCTGATCGTCCTTCCGAGTGGTACTAAACTCGACCCGGCCAAACTCAACTTGGTTTTACTTGTTTATTTTTATAAATATTGACACTTAACATATATTTATCCGTTGAGGCATTTTTAAATGTAAGACCATAGGGGCATTTTAAAAATAGCCGAAGGGATTAATTAAATAAAAAAGCCATTAAGGCAAAAACAAAGCAAAAAAGCCACAGGGGCAAAATAAATAAAAAAGCCATAATGGCAAAATAAAATAAAAAACCATAGGGGCAAAAACAAAGTGAAAAGAGGACAACAAAAGTGCCAATAAAATAGGAAAATGTACAATTTTGAAAAGAGGACATTAAAAGTCCCAATTAAACAAGAAATAAATTAAAAAAATAATAATAAATAAATGAAACAAAGCCAAGAAAGCAGGAAAAAAAGGAAGAAGCAAATATACAAAAAAAAACCATATATATATATATATATATATATATATATATATATATATATATATATATATATATATATATATATATATATATATATATATATATATATATATATATATATATATATATATATATATATATTAAAAATCAAAAAATGAAAAAGGAGTTCCAAAATCAAAAGTTCCAAGAAGAGGATCGAGAAAATGCAACAGCGTCAGGAGGTATTGAGCTCGAAAAGCCTGGCATCCTGACAGCAACAATGCTACAACAGTTTCGGGCGTTCCAGAAGGTGGTGCTGCAGCAGCAGCAGGAGCAAATGATGTCGATTATGGAAGACATTGAGCAGATGTTCCTAATGCAGCGATCCAGCAAAATAAAAAAGACACGGAACAAGAGGAAAGGTAAGTCGTCGAAGTTGAGAGAGATGAACAAGTGGAAAATTTAAGAATAACATGATGCCGTTCAACTAAAGCAGATTCCCTGCTTAGAAGTAAGTATTGTGAAATTGTTCCCGCCGGCAAGTCCTCATTTCGAGGAACGGAAAGAAGAACAAGAATCCGCCCTGAGCAATGAAGCACTCGGTGAAGAACGAATGGATTCACGTACAGAAGGCTCCAACATGTTCGGCGGATGCGGGGAAGATGAGTACGACAACGTTTCTAAAGGAAAAGAATGGATCGACGAAGTAGGAAAATCAGAACAAAGCTCTTTGGTTCCGCCTCCTGGAGGGTATTGCCTTGAAGAAATCAAGAGCAAACCAACAATGGCCGTGAGAATGGAAGATAACGAATCGGAGCTTACAATAAAGCCAACGGCAATCATTTGCTACGTGGGTGATGACGGTCTGCAGCGATGGACTACTAATTCGGCAGCATGGAAAATGAAGCCGGCAGATAAAGGTGGTGGTATCGGCAAGAGAGGCTGGATTAAACATTGGAGTCGTTTCCTGGAAGCGGTTAGCTGATATTATTTCAACATATATAGATAGTTACGCATAAATTTTCTTTTCAAATCTTTCATATCTTTATATTTAAATATTCCATATTATCCATTTGTTAACTTTATAAAAAATACAGTCCATTATAAACATGCACATTTAAGCCGCCCGAGAGAATGTACAAAATACTTTGTACATACTTTTGAGTGCGGTTGAGGCGCTTGGAAAAACTAGCAATAAACAATAAATATTCAAAAATTACATATTTCCCAGCCGCCATAAAATACCACATGTGAACAATTCGGTGATCTTGTGTGCTGACGCATACGATAATGTGTCAGATAATAAATGTTATAACCCACATGTCCATATATCGATGCGCTCAGTAGATGCACAAGACCACATGAATGAAATGACAAACAGCCCTGCAATGTTCTCCATTCAATATTAGAATAGATAAGAATAATTGTGTGGCTGCGATTAGGTTAAGTTAGATTAGTTTCAGTAGTACGTAAGGAACATATTTTAGAAATAAAATTAGAATTGAATCAACAACCAAACCTTTCGGTTGGTTTTCTTTTCTCGCTCTTTTACAAGGCCCGACACGAAATGGTCAATATTGACCCATTCCTTCGTAACCTACTCCATAGAGGGTCGACAATTTGAATAATCATAACAGAAGTCAAAATATAATTAAATAATCGAACCTTGGTTGAAGGTATACATCTGTCAAATCGACTGACATTTTCTAACTTGTTTTTTTTTTTTAATTTTGAATTTGTTTTTTTAGAACCACAAAACACTTTTATATAAAAAGTTGAATGCATAAAAACGAAAGGAGTAGCGAAGCGCGCCGGGTTATGCTAGTCCCGTATATATAACGGTACTTCCCGATATTCGGTACTTTGATAATTGTAGCCACATTTTTCAATGGAGTTGTCTGATCGTCCTTCCGAGTGGTACTAAACTCGACCCGGCCAAACTCAACTTGGTTTTACTTGTTTATTTTTATAAATATTGACACTTAACATATATTTTTGTATTTTTCTGTTTTAAATTCGGTTGGAGAGTCGCATGTCTAAAACTTTTTCATCTATACAAACATTTTGAAAATATTGCCTTTTTATACCCTCCACCATACTATGGAGGGTATATTAATTTGGTTTTACTTGTTTATTTTTATAAATATTGACACTTAACATATATTTTTGTATTTTTCTGTTTTAAATTCGGTTGGGGAGTCGCTTGTCTAAAACTTTTTCATCTATACAAACATTTTGAAAATATTGCCTTTTTATACCCTCCACCATACTATGGAGGGTATATTAATTTTGTCATTCCGTTTGTAACTCCTCGAAATACTCATGTCAGACCCAACAAAGTATATATATTCTTGATCAGCGTAAAATTCTAAGATGATTTAGCCATGTCCTTCTGTCTGTCTGTCCGTCCGTCTTTTGATAATTTTGCGACATTATTCACCGGAATTGTTTCAAATTTGTCATTTGAAGTTCGTAATGGATACTACAGCCTAAGATAGAAAATAATCTATGTAGGTCCACGTCTTCGTATAGCCCCTATATAATGGTACCCCCCGATATTCGGTATTTTGATGATTTTAGCGACATTATTTACCGGAATCATTTCAAAGTTGGCATTTGAAATTCGTAATAGATGCTGCAGCCTTAAAGAGAAAATGGGCCATGTAGGTCCACATCTTCGTATAGCCCCCATATACCGTACCCCCCGATATTCGGTATTTTGATGATTTTAGCGACATTATTTACCGGGATTATTTCAAATTTCGCATGTGAAGTTCTTAGTGGATACTTCAGGTCCACGTCTTCGTATAGCGCACATATAACGGTACCCCCTATATTCGGTGTTTTGATGATTTTAGCTACATTATAAACATATTTTTCTTCAAGTTTCGCATTTAAATATTGTAATAATTTATGACAAAAGTTGCCTATGCAGGTCCACGTCGTCGTATAGGCATTCGGTATTTTTAAGATTTTAATAGAATTTTTAACGGATTTTATTTTTATACCCTCCACCATACTATGGAGGGTATATTAATTTTGTCATTCCGTTTGTAACTGATGTCAGACCCAACAAAGTATATATATTCTTGATCAGCGTAAAATTCTAAGACGAGTTAGCCATGTCCGTCTCTCTGTCTGTGTGTCTGTCTGTCTGTCCGTCTGTCTGTTGTAATCACGCTATCGTAAATGGGCCATGTAGGTGCAAGTTATCATATAACCAAACTGAATGACCCGATGACTGGTAAACCAACTGCCCAAAAACGGTACTTTGGGCAGTTGGTAACCCATTCCTGGCATACACCCCCTCCGAAATTACTTTCGGGTAGATATCGACGCCTATGACGATATCTATTCCCGATGACTGGTAAAATTTCGGATCAGCCAAGAAAAGATGGGGGAAATTTTTTTTGAAGTCGTCGGGCAGGGATTCGGCTGGCGTCTTTGTGGTGATCCGATTATCCACGCGAAAGGTGCCCTCGATTTTCACTTTGGAGTCAAATCTTGAGAACAGAGTCAATTGGCACACTGTCTCCTCTCTTAATGTCAAGGAGTTGACTTTAATTTTCTCCACAAAGCTCCTCGACACACGGCTTACTGGAGAGGCGGAATCCAACAAACATCGCGCCACATTCTTTGCATCTATCCTTACCAGGACGGTGGGTAGCAAAATGGTCCGATTTTGCTGGATCAGGGATGTGAGAGATCCCTTCGGGTTATGCGAAGTTGCTGAGGACGAAGAAGGCCTGTTTGGTACTCGCCGAGCTTTAGAGGTTGATGGTCGCGGTGAAACCGACCTAGATTCCGATCGGGACTTAGGAGATGGTGGAAGGATTTGGGCCCGCAGCTTTGGATCCACGTGGAGCAGTGTGTGGTGGTACTTGTGACAGTGGCGACAGCCGGTGTCACTGAAACACGAACCATGGGAATGGTCCAGGGCCAAACAATTCACGCAATATTTGTGCTTGCGCACCACTTCGAACCGTTCCGTCATGTCCATATCCAGGAACTTATGGCACCGACGTAAGGAATGGGGACGCTGACAGAGCCGGCACAAGAATTTCCCATTTTGGTATGGGGCTTTGTTGTGGTTGCGCTGACCTTTGGGGGCGGAATGTTTGGGCATGGTTCTAAATAGAATGCGGACAAAAGGACAGAGAAGGGAAAGAAGAAAATATGAATTTAGTGGCTTGGAAGGACGACAAGCTTAGTGATAGGGCGTGTAATAACCCCTTTTTGAGTTATAATATCTGCAACACGGATATTATGATCGGAACCTTGATAAGTCTTGCAAACTCGACCAAGGCGCCAGGAATTTGGCCGAAGATTATCATCATAAATTGCGACCAGTGTGTTTTCTTCAATGTCCTTCTCACATGTTTGCCATTTATAACGCTTTTGGAGTTCTCGGAGATATTCAGTCTTCCAACGAGCACAGAAACTCTGATGGATTGCTTTTAGTCGCTGCCACCTGTTGATTAATGAAATTGGACTGTCTTCTAGGTGTGGATCAACAGGGACTAAAATAGGCGTGCCTATTAGAAAGTGGCCAGGAGTTAATGCGGCAAAATCTGTTGGCTCAGAGGAAATAGGAGAGAGAGGACGAGAATTCAAACAGGCTTCAATTCTGGTCAGAAGCGTTAGAAATTCTTCGAACGTAAACTTGAATGAGCCGGCAAACTTTTTGAAATGGGTTTTGAAACTTTTAACCCCGGCTTCCCAGAGCCCTCCCATATGAGGAGCCCCAGGCGGAATGAAGTGCCAGCTAAGATTTTGCACGGAATAATTAGAGATAACAGCGGAACGAGAAGCTTGAATAAACTCTTTCGCCAGGACTTTGGACGCTCCCACAAACGTTGTACCATTATCGGAATAAAGATGTGCAGGACATCCTCGTCTAGAGACGAATCTATGAAATGCTGCCAAGAAGGTGGAAGTGGAAAGATCGGACGTTGCTTCGAGATGTATTGCTTTAGTGGAAAAACATACGAACACACATACGTATCCCTTTGTTATACGGCATGAGCGTCCGCAATAAGTTTTAATATCGAAGGGACCAGCAAAATCTAGTCCAGTGCGATAAAATGCACGAGTAAGCTCTGTACGTTCAGGAGGAAGAGCAGCCATTATCTGTTTCTGACAGCGCTTCTTATACAGGATACAAGGCTTGCATTTATGGATAGAAGCTTTAATGAGGTTCTTGACTTTAGGAATCCAATACTGGGATCTTATTACTCGAAGAACTAATTGATTTCCTCCATGTATAGTGATTTTATGAACAAAATCAACATAAAGCCGAGCAAATTTGCAGCTGTATGGAAGGATGATTGGGCGTTTCTCCTCGTATGGAATACTTGGAGAAGAATCTAATCGCCCACAGGAACGGATTACACCATCGGAGTCTAGGAATGGATTTAGACTTAAAATGGAACTTGATGGTGAAACTTGCTGCTTGCAGGATAATGCCTTGTACTCATTAGGAAAATGAAATTTCTGATACCATTTGATCAGTAGATTTCGCGCCACAAGTATTTCAGAACTGGAAACAAGTAGAGTATTCTCGATGAAATTAGCGCGAAGTCGTGGATGTGTTCGGCGGAAGAATCGATGAATATACGCAAACACTCTAAGCGAACGTGGATAGGAAGAAAAGTTTTCAAGAATATCGGCGGAATCTTCGAAGTATGAAAAGTGAACCTTCAGGGGTTTACGTTCCACACACGTTTCTTGAATATGAACACGGTCTGGCCATCGGTTTGTGGATTCCCGAAGCCAAGAAGGTCCGAACCACCAGAGATCATTTTGAACGATGTCTTGAGGTGACAGACCGCGACTTGCCAAATCAGCAGGATTTGATTCGGACGAAACGTGATGGAATTTGGAAGGGTCTACCACTTGAATGATAGTGGAAACTCTGTTGGCTACGAATGTTAACCAATGACATGGCGGTTTGGAAAGCCAGGAAAGAACTATTGTGGAGTCTGACCAGCAGAATACGGAGTTGTACAAAATACTTTGTACATACTTTTGAGTGCGGTTGAGGCGCTGGGAAAAACTAGCAATAAACAATCAATATTCAAAAATTACATATTTCCCAGCCGCCATAAAATACCACATGTGAACAATTCGGTGATCTTGTGCGCTGACGCATACGATAATGTGCCAGATAATAAAGGTTATGACCCGCACAGATATCGATGCGCTCAGTAGATGCACAAGACCACTTGAATGAGATGTCAAGCAGCCCTGCAATGTTCTCCATTCAGTATTAGAATAGATAAGAATAATTGTGTGGCTGCGACTAGGTTAAGTTAGATTAGTTTCAGTAGTACGTAAGAAACATATTCCTTAAATAAAATTAGAATTGAATCAACAACCAAACCATTCGGTTGGTTTTCTCTTCTCACTCATTGGTGCTTCGAGCCGGATCCAAAATAGAACTGAATCTACAGCCAAACCGTTCGGTCGTGTTTCTCTTCTCATTCATTGGTCCTTCGAATAATAAAGAATCGACGACCTAAAATTAAATTGGTTTGAGTTATCCCCCACCAGTGGTAAGAAACTCAAAATAACCAAAAAAGAAGTAGCTATTTTTCAAAAAAGAGGAGAACAGCTACAAGACAAAAGTCTGCTGAGACATTTTAAAAAATAGTCGAAGGGATTAAAGTATTTGAAAAAGCCATAGTGCAAAAATAAAAAATGCCATAGAGGCAGAATTAAAAAAAAATAAAAAAAAAAAACATATTACAAAAAAGACCCGAAGGGCAAAAATTACAAAACACGCCATAGGGGCAAAACCAAAAAAAAACTAATTAAAAAAAAAAGAGATAAGAAGACAACAAAGTCCCAAATAAAAGAAAAACATACAATTTTGAAAAGAGGACATCAAAGTCCCAACTGGAAAAAAAGCAAAAAATAGAAAAAAGCCAAGAAGGCAATATAAAAAAGTTTTTAAAAGAGGACAAACATTTAAATAAAAAATTAATAAAAAAATGGAAGAAAATATCACCACTTTGGCAGACTATTTCCAGCTATTAACGTCGACGTCAGCCTTTGAAAAGGTGAAACACGTCGCGGCATGGAAGGTACTGGTAGAAAACACATATTACCAGTTACGACGGTACTTGAGGGTACACCAAAAATATCTTCCAACCCTTATGAAGACATTGTCCTGTGATGTGGATATGTGTATGTTATCAGCAATGAAGCTTTTAGCAACCCGGAGTCGCAATTACACAGGCTTGGACATCGATGAAGAAATCGAAGATTCGATACAAAGGAAGATTACGACAGAGAATTGGAAGATGGTTTGCACGAACAAATGCAAGCCTATGAAAATAATTTACAATCTCTGCAGGGAAAAGCAATCGAATTGCGTTCTCAGCTAATAATCGAAGTGGAAAAAAGTGAAACGATATTGAGAAATGCCAAGGCCCACGAAAAATATCTGCTCGCCAAATCTGAAGAAAACCTGCGGTCCAAAGATGAACAATTCGAAGAAAAACATCGAGTTCAGAATGATCAAGTGCGACATCTAAAAACGAAGTTAAAGAAAGTCAATGAAAAATTGGCTAGCTCGGAAAGAGCACGACGAGTCTTGGAAGCTGAGAAAGATGACCTGTCCAAGCAACTAGCAAGTGTAAGAAAGGGAGATAATGCCGTTAATCTAAAACAGATTCGATGTTTAGAAGGAAATATTGTGAAGTGCTTCCCGCCGGCAAGTTCTCATTTTGAGGAACGGGAAGAAGAAAAACGTTCTGGTGTCGTGTCAGCGCTGACATATAGAAAACCATTTCGGGAGGAACCTCTCAATTTAGTAAAAACCAATCGATGCAATGGCAATGAGGACGACCGTTTTGTAAGAGAAGTAATAAATAGTCTTATTGCAGAAGAGGAAAAAGAAGAAAAGTCGCCACGCACAGAAGGTTCAAAAATTGTCGACGAATGTGGTAAATTAGCAGGAAAAGAATGCATCGATGAAGTAGAAAAAGCCAAAGAAATGTCTCTGGTTCCGGAAGTGTATTACCACCACCACAAACCACCAATAACCTTAAGAAAGGAAGACGACAAAGCAGAGCGTACCATGGAGCCAATGGTAATCCTTTCCGACGTGAATGATGGCTGTCTGCATCGATGGACTATTAATTCGGTAGTATGGAAAATGAAGCCGGCAGATAAAGGTGGTGGTATCGGCAAGAGAGGCTGGATAGGAAAGTGGAGCCGTTTCCTGCAAGCGGTCACCTAGGATAATTTATATAGTATAGTATAATTAGTTTTAAATCTAAATATCTAAATATTTTTTATACAGTCCTGTTCTACACCCATTTAATTTCTAATACAGTCCACTAAAATATACGCATTTAAGCCGCCCGGGAGAATGTACAAAATACTTTGTACATACTTTTGAGTGCGGTTGAGGCGCTGGGAAAAACTAGCAATAAACAATCAATATTCAAAAATTACATATTTCCCAGCCGCCATAAAATACCACATGTGAACAATTCGGTGATCTTGTGCGCTGACGCATACGATAATGTGCCAGATAATAAAGGTTATGACCCGCACAGATATCGATGCGCTCAGTAGATGCACAAGACCACTTGAATGAGATGTCAAGCAGCCCTGCAATGTTCTCCATTCAGTATTAGAATAGATAAGAACAATTGTGTGGCTGCGACTAGGTTAAGTTAGATTAGTTTCAGTAGTACGTAAGAAACATATTCCTTAAATAAAATTAGAATTGAATCAACAACCAAACCATTCGGTTGGTTTTCTCTTCTCAGTCAGAGTAGTTGGGAATATCGAGCGTTGGGAGCAGTACGTCGATCATTTCTGCCAGTAGGACAGCTCCACATAGTTCTAGTCTTGGAATAGACAGTGTCTTCACTGGAGCAACTCTTGTTTTGGAATACACCAGGTGGGTGAATATGGAAGTACCGTTAGCTATTCGCACATATAAAGCGGCTGCGTAAGCTTTTTCAGAAGCATCGCAGAATCCATGAAACTGAACTTCAGCAAACTCGATCAATACTTGAATAGCCGGATTGAAACCTTTTCCACTGGTGCAAGGTGGCTGGACTTATGACTTCGTCCCAACCAGTACCATCGGACCAAATCTGCTGCATTATTATTTTTGCCACGACAATACATGGCGAAAGCCAGCCAGCAGGATCAAATAATTTGGAGATCTGAGAAAGAATCTCCCTTTTTGTGTAGGAACACGAAGATGGAAAAGGCGTTGTCGAAAAGAAAAATGAATCTGAACGAGCGTTCCAACGAATTCCTAGCGTTTTTGCTGTGCTACAGTCGTCGAAGTTTAGGAAATCACACAACAAATGATCTTTTGGAAGATCCGCTAGAATATCCATTGAGTTCGCTGTCCATTTTCGAAGGGAGAAGCCAGCTGATGCTAGAGCGGTTTTAAGCTCATTTCTGGATTGAAGAGCATCGGAAATTGAATGTGCACCGGAAAGTACATCATCCACGTACATATAATTACGAATTATCATGCTAGCCTTTGGATGGCTACTTTGGACGTCATCAGCTAGTCGAAGCAGAGTGCGGATAGCTAAATACGGAGCACAATTGACACCAAATGTGACAGTTTGTAGCTCAAAATCTTGAATGATATCACCTGGGTGGTTGCGGAAGACTATTCTTTGGAATGGAGTATGATCAGAATGAACTAGGATCTGACGGTACATTTTCTGGATATCAGCGTTGAACACATATCGGAAAAATCGCCATTTGAGAATCAACGTGGTCAAGTCATTCTGCAATACTGGACCAGTATGCAAAAGATCGTTGAGACTTCGACCATTAGAAGAAGCAGAAGATGCATTAAAAACCACTCGAACTTTAGTGGTCGAACTTTCTGGCTTAAAAACTGCGTGGTGAGGCATGTAGTAATGGAAGGAATCATTGTTACAGCTCGGAGCTTGAATTGAATTCATGTGATTTAGTTGTATGTACTCGTCTAGAACCTGGTCATACTCTTTCTTCAACTTTGGATTTCGGATTAAGCGATTCTCATTACGAAGGAACTGTGAGAGAGCGCTTGGGCGGGATTGTCCAAAACGAATTGTATCTGGAAATCCATCCTTGAAAGGAAGGCGAACAATATACCTGCCATCTTCATTTCTTGATGTAGTTGACATGAATAGACGCTCGCAAAGTTCATCGGATTCGGAATAAAATCTTTTCCTTGGAAGATTCTCCACCTCCCAGAAACGACTAATTTCTTTATCAAGAGAAATCTCGCAGAAATTGGAGATCACTATGGATGATGGAGACGGAGTGGATGTAGGTATTGGACCCGTGAGGATCCATCCAAATATGGTCTCTTGGCCGATTAAAGAATCACAGAGATTAGGCTTTAGTCCGGATCTCATGATTTCCGGAATGAAATCACCGCCTATCAACAGATCAATATTGGAGCTCTTGTAGAAATGTGGATCAGCAAGATTGATATTCGGAAGCAGAGAAAATAGTGAAGGAGGCAAGGTATGCGACGGAAGGTTTCCAGATAAATGTGGAACTACAAATGCCTGGACCGAGACACGTACGGAATTATCAAATCTTGAACATAGATTTAAGGAACATGATTTTCGAACGGAAGCAGCAGTGGTATTATTAAGGCCGGAAATCTGCACATTCGTACGCTGGTATGGCAGTTTTAATTTATTGAAAAATCTTTCGGAGATAAAGGTTCCCTGAGATCCAGAATCAAGCAGAACACGTGCTGGATAAGAGACTCCCAGGTGTAGCACATTTACTAACGCAGTCCCCAATAAAACTCCCCTTGAACTTGCAGAGAAGCAAGATTGAATGACTCCGTTCCCAGAACTAGTGGACTGTGAGGAATTAGGAGTGAATGGAACAGAGTTGGAGTTCAAAGTGGAATTACTGTTGGAGGTGGAAGGAAGAGTGGGTGAATGGACATGAACATGAAGCATTGTGTTGTGTCTCTTTTGGCACTCAAAGCAATTGTTTTTGCTAGTACAATTTCGTACGTGATGCGTTTTCGAGAAACAATTGAGGCACAGACCTTGTTTCTTTACCTCGGATGTGCGCTGCCTTATGTCCATGGCAATGAACTTTGGACACTTCCGAATGATATGTGAAGAATTCGCACACAATGGACATTTCGGAACCGAAACTTTAGTCTGGAATGAACTGCATTTTGAACCTTTTGAATGTGAAATGGATTTCGCTTTACTTTCATCAGACTTTGGATGGTTACGCATCTCGGAAACGGACTCAAGTGTACGATACCGATTGGTGAGAAAGGAGTCAAGGTCTACCCACTTTGGAATAGCTGTTTTATCAGATAAACCTTGTTCCCACAGGGTCAGAGTTGAGTCTGGAAGACGATTGGAACAGAGAAATACAAATATCGGATCCCAACTTCTGACATCGATCTCGTACATTGCAAGTGTATCAATACAGGAGTTGATATCACGTTGCATTGACTTAATGGCACTAGCTGATTCGGATTTTAAAAACGGAAGATTGAATAAAACTTTCAGCTGACCATTCACAAGAATGCGCTTATTTTCGAAACGGGAACATAGGTTCTGCCACGCTAGCTGGAAACCTTGATTAGTCAAGGGAGCTCTTTGGACTATATCACGTGCTTCACCTTTAGTCTTCTGGGTCAAATGGAATAAGCGCTCAACTGGACTGAGCCTGGAATTTTTGATGTACACGGCCGTGAACATGTCTCGGAATGTTGGCCATGACATGTAATCTCCATCAAAGACTTCGGTGTCGCATGGTGGAATGTTAAAAGAATAACTTGAACTATGATCGGGATGGATAACAGAGGTAGGACTTTGGAATGGTAATGATTGCGGAGAAGTTGTGGGTTCTTTTGGAGCTGCTTGAGACTGAAAATCCTCCAGAAGCTGAGTCAACTTGGCTAAACATGTACAATAGGTCACGTACGTACTGTTGTACTTAGCTTTGAAGGTCTCCAACTCAGAAGCAGTATCTTCATCACCATCTTCCTCATCCCCTTCATTTTCCCGATCGATCATGAATCGCTCGAATGAGGATTTCACATTTTCCCATAGGGACTTAAATTCGGAAATATGAATTTTTATTAATTGGGATGACGTTAGAGGAATATTATCATCGCTGACACCTGCATTAAATGCGACTAGGTGATCTGCGTTACGAATAAAGGAATCCAACGACATAATTTCTCAGAAATCGAAGAAAGATCTGAAACAAGTTGATATTCTCTATGCCCTTTAAGGAAAAAATTAAGTATTTGCAGCCCTTTCAAGAATATAGAGTAGGAAAATATGAAATATATCTGCTTAAATATGGCGAAAATCAGAAAAGTTCGGCAAAATTCGGAGAAAAATGGAAAATTTGTATCTACTTTCTATTTGAAAAGCGACCTCCAGCGGCGATAGGAAGTACTAAAAACCAAAACAAGCGAAAAAACTTTGAAAGTATTTTGAAATAACCCAAATCGAATGTCCTTTCGCAAGAAAATTGGGAAATTGTGAATAAACGTAAACTTTCAAGAATATTTTTCAATGTCACGAGCGACCTCTGGCGGAAACAGGATGTACTATTAATAGACCAGGGCTAATTTTTTTCTCGAATATATGGACAGTATATCAAAAAGTCACAAAAAAGTTTAAAAATTTTCCGAAAAAATGTGAAAATTAATTATTTCACAGCTACCTTCTTATATAAAGGGCGACACCTAGCGGCAAAATATGCACTAAATACCAAGAGGAACAAAGGTGGTTGAATAGTCCAACCGGTATATGTGCGAATAATATATAAAATAATATGTGTCGCAAACTATGAAAAGTGCGACCATATAAACGGAACGACGGTAGGGTGCACGTACAAGCGAAGAGAACACCAACAGAAAAATAACCGATCACTGTTGAGTGGAATGACACAACAGAGCGCTGCTTGTGTTGGCTGAGCGAACGAACGACTCAACAACAAGTGGAAATATGAGTGACTGTATGTAGGTATTGATGTTGTTGAAGAGATTCAGCGAGGGTTCTCTTACAACAACAACAATAATAATGAAAAAAAACAAACAGCGATGGATAATAGAAAAAATGCAATATTTTCGCGGCAAAACGAAAAGGAAAAAAATGAGAAGAAAACACACTGTCGCGAGTTAAGAAATAGGCGAATAAGAAAATTAAATAGGAATTTATATTATTGAAAATTGAAATAATAAATGAAATATCTCTTCACTTTATTTATTAAAATCTTAGAAAAATATGGAGAATTATGGGAATATTTAATATTGGATTTGAAATTATTCGAAATTATACTGAAAAAATTAATAATTTTCGAAATCTAATTAGAAACACTGTGCGTTAGATAGAAAAGAAAAAATCAAATTGCCGACGGCAAAACACACTTTGACTAACGCACTCAAGTTTAATGTGTTTCTTTTTTTTATGCACTATTGACGTTCACTGGATAATATAAGCACAAACTTACCTTGATTTTAGATGAAAAATGGAAATTAAAACAGCAATAAAATCCGGTTCGAACAGGACCAAATGAAAATGCCAAAATTGTGGGTATTTTCCTAGAAAATGCTGGATTGTTATTCTGCTGTTTGTGGACAGAAAAATATTCCTTGGAGTAGAAATATTTTCCTCTCGGTTTGGGATTGAAAAAATGGAAGAAAAAGAAATAAAACAATGGAATAAGTTTGATGTTGGGGAAAAGAACAATTATGGTTCTTTATTTAGAATTCAAATTGCAAAATTTGAACGGCGCTTACCAATAACAACAGTTGTGATTGTAGGTTGGTTTACAAGTGATTTTATTGAGGAAAAAGGAAAATTGAAAAGCCACAGATAGGACACAAACGGACATTTTGAGTAATTGAGCGACACAAACAAAAGCAAAGCTTGTGGATCGACTCGAAATTTAGGAAATAGAATTAGGGTTGCCAGATCGAAGAATTTCGTATTTACACAAACCATAGGGGCAAAAACAAAGTGAAAAGAGGACAACAAAAGTCCCAAAAAAATAAGAAAATATACAATTTGAAAAGAGGACATTAAAAGTCCCAATTAAAAAAGAAATAAATTAAAAAAATAATAACAAATAAATGAAAAAAAGCCAAGAAGGCAGAAAAAAACGAAGAAGCAAAATATACAAAAATATATATATATATATATATTTTTAAAATCAAAAAATGAAAAAGGAGTTTCAAAATCAAAGGTTCCAAGAAGAGGATCGAGAAAATGCAACAGCGTCAGGAGGTATTGAGCTCGAAAAGCCTGGCATCCTGACAGCAACAATGCTGCAACAGTTTCGGGCGTTCCAGAAGGTGATGCTGCAGCAGCAGCAGGAGCAAATGAAGTCGATTATGGAAGAAATTGAGCAGATGTTCCTAATGCAGCGATCCAGCAAAAGTAAAAAAGACACGGAACAAGAGGAAAGGTAAGTCGTCGAAGTTGAGAGAGATGACCTGTGTAAACAAGTGGAAAATGTAAGAATAGAACATGATGTCGTTCAACTAAGGCAGATTCCCTGCTTAGAAGTAAGTATTGTGAAATTGTTCCCGCCGGCAAGTCTTCATTTCGAGGAACGGAAAGAAGAACTAGAATCCGCCCTGAGCAATGAAGCACTCGGTGAAGAACGAATGGATTCACGTACAGAAGGCTCCAACATGTTCGGCGGATGCGGGGAAGATGAGTACGACAACGTTTCTAAAGGAAAAGAATGGATCGACGAAGTAGGAAAATCAGAACAAAGCTCTTTGGTTCCGCCTCCTGGAGGGTATTGCCTTGAAGAAATCAAGAGCAAACCAACAATGGCCGTGAGAATGGAAGATAACGAATCGGAGCTTACAATAAAGCCAACGGCAATCATTTGCTACGTGGGTGATGACGGTCTGCAGCGATGGACTACTAATTCGGCAGCATGGAAAATGAAGCCGGCAGATAAAGGTGGTGGTATCGGCAAGAGAGGCTGGATTAAACGTTGGAGTCGTTTCCTGGAAGCGGTTAGCTGATATTATTTCAACATATATAGATAGTTACGCATAAATTTTCTTTTCAAATCTTTCATATCTTTATATTTAAATATTCCATATTATCCATTTGTTAACTTTATAAAAAATACAGTCCATTATAAACATGCACATTTAAGCCGCACGAGAGAATGTACAAAATACTTTGTACATACTTTTGAGTGCGGTTGAGGCGCTTGGAAAAACTAGCAATAAACAATAAATATTCAAAAATTACATATTTCCCAGCCGCCATAAAATACCACATGTGAACAATTCGGTGGTCTTGTGTGCTGACGCATACGATAATGTGTCAGATAATAAATGTTATAACCCACACGTCCATATATCGATGCGCTCAGTAGATGCACAAGACCACATGAATAGAATGACAAACAGCCCTGCAATGTTCTCCATTCAATATTAGAATAGATAAGAATAATTGTGTGGCTGCGATTAGGTTAAGTTAGATTAGTTTCAGTAGTACGTAAGGAACATATTTTAGAAATAAAATTAGAATCGAATCAACAACCAAACCTTTCGGTTGGTTTTCTTTTCTCGCTCTTTTACAAGGCCCGACACGAAATGGTCAATATTGACCCATTCCTTCGTAACCTACTCCATAGAGGGTCAACAATTTGAATAATCATAACAGAAGTTAAAATATATATTTAAATAATCGAACCTTGGTTGAAGGTATACATCTGTCAAATCGACTGACATTTTCTAACTTGTTTTTTTTTTTTTAATTTTGAATTTGTTTTTTTAGAACCACAAAACACTTTTATATAAAAAGTTGAATGCATAAAAACGAAAGGAGTAGCGAAGCGCGCCGGGTTATGCTAGTCCCGTATATATAACGGTACTTCCCGATATTCGGTACTTTGATAATTGTAGCCACATTTTTCAATGGAGTTGTCTGATCGTCCTTCCGAGTGGTACTAAACTCGGCCCGGCCAAACTCAACTTGGTTTTACTTGTTTATTTTTATAAATATTGACACTTAACATATATTTTTATATTTTTCTGTTTAAAATTCGGTTGGGGAGTCGCTTGTCTAAAACTTTTTCATCTATACAAACATTTTGAAAATATTGCCTTTTTATACCCTCCACCATACTATGGAGGGTATATTAATTTTGTCATTTCGTTCCTCGAAATACTCATGTCAGACCCAACAAAGTATATATATTCTTGATCAGCGTAAAATTCTAAGACGACTTAGCCATGTTCGTCAGTCAGTTTGTCTGTCTGTCCGTCTGTCCATCTGTCTGTTGTAATCACGCTATCGTAAATAGCCCGATCAAACTCAACTTGGTTTTACTTGTTTATTTTTATAAATATTGACACTTAACATATATTTTTGTATTTTTCTGTTTTAAATTCGGTTGGGGAGTCGCTTGTCTAAAACTTTTTCATCTATACAAACATTTTGAAAATATTGCCTTTTTATACCCTCCACCATACTATGGAGGGTATATTAATTTTGTCATTCCGTTTGTAACTCCTCGAAATACTCATGTCAGACCCAACAAAGTATATATATTCTTGATCAGCGTAAAATTCTAAGACGATTTAGGAATGTTCGTCAGTCTGTCTGTGTGTCTGTCTGTCTGTCCGTCTGTCTGTTGTAATCACGCTATCTTTCGAACAAATTGAGATAGAAGGCTAAAATTTTGCACACATGTATATTTTGCCAGTAGGCAGGTTAAGTTCGAAAATGGGCCATGTAGGTCCAAGAAATCATATAGCCCCCATATAACGGTACCTCCCGATATAAGGTATTTTGATGATTTTTGCGACATTATTCACCGGAATTGTTTCAAATTTGTCATTTGAAGTTCGTAATGGATACTACAGCCTAAAACAGAAAATAATCTATGTAGGTCCACGTCTTCGTATAGCCCCTATATAATGATACCCCCGATATTCGGTATTTTTATGATTTTAGCGACATTATTCACCGGAATTGTTTCAAATTTGGTACAATTTATTGTTCGTAATGGATTCGTAATCCTAAGTCAAAAAATGAGCCATGTAGGTCCACGTCCTCATGTAGCCCCCATATAACGGTAGCCCCCGATATTCGGTATTTTGATGATTTTAGCGACATTATTTAGCGAAATCGTTCCAAATTTGGTATTTGAAGTTCGTAATAGATACTGCAGCATAAAACAGAAAATGGGCCATATAGGTCCAAGTCTTCATATAGCCCCCATATACCGAACCCCCCGATATTCGGTATGTTGATGATTTTATCGACATTATTTACCGGGATTGTTTCAAATTTCGCATGTGAAGTTCGTAATGGATACTTCAGCCCATGCCAGAAAATTGTCTGTGCAGGTCCACGTCTTCGTTTAGCCCTCATATAACGGTACCCCCTATATTCGGTGTTTTGATGATTTTAGATACATTATAAACAGATTTTTCTTCAAGTTTCGCATTTAAATATTGTAATAACTTATGACAAAAGTTGCCTATGCAGGTCCACGTTGTCGTATAGGCATTCGGTATTTTTAAGATTTTAGCAGAATTTTTAACGGATTTTATTTTTATACCCTCCACCATACTATGGAGGGTATATTAATTTTGTCATTCCGTTTGTAACTCCTCGTAATACTCATGTCAGACCCAACAAAGTATATATATGTCTGTGTGTCTGTCTGTCCGTCTGTCTCTCTGTTGTAGTCACGCTATCGTAAATGGGCCATGTAGGTCCAAGTTATCATATAGCCACCATATAACCGTACCTCCCGATATTCAGTATTTTGATGATTTTAGCGACATTATTCGCCGGAATTGTTTCAAATTTCGCATGTGAATTTCTTAATGGATACTTCAGCCCATGCCAGAAATTTGTCTGTGCAGGTCCACGTCTTCGTATAGCGCCCATATAACGGCACCCCCTATATTAGGTGTTTTGATGATTTTAGCTACAATATAAACAGATTTTTCTTCAAGTTTCGCATTTAAATATTGTAATAACTTATGACAAATGTTGCCTATGCAGGTCCAGGTTGTCGTATAGGCATTCGGTATTTTTAAGATTTTAACAGAATTTTTAACGGATTTTATTTTTATACCCTCCACCATACTATGGAGGGTATATTAATTTTGTCATTCCGTTTGTAACTCCTCGTAATACTCATGTCAGACCCAACAAAGTATATATATTCTTGATCTGCGTAAAATTCTAAGGCGATTTAGCCATGTCCGTCTGTCTGTCTGTCTGTTGTAATCACGCTATCGTAAATGGGCCATGTAGGTCCAAGCTATCATATAGCCCCCATATAACCGTACCTCCCGATATTCAGTATTTTGATGATTTTAGCGACATTATTCGCCGGAATTGTTTCAAATTTGGCATTTGAAGTTCGTAATGAATACTACAGCCTAAGACAGAAAATTATCTGTGCAGGTCCACGTCTTCGTGTAGCCCCCATATAACGGTACCCCCCGATATTCGGTATTTTGATGATTTTAGCGACATTGTTTACCAGAATCGTTTCAAATTTAAAGTTCGTAATGGATTCGTAATCCTAAGTCAAAAAATAATCTATATAGGTCCACGTCCTCATATAGCCCCCGATATTCGGTATTTTGATGATTTTAGCGACATTATTTAGCGAAATCGTTCCAAATTTGGTATTTGCAGTTCGTAATAGATACTGCATCATAAAACAGAAAATGGGTCATATAGGTCCAAGTCTTCATATAGCCCCCATATACCGTACCCCCCGATATTCGGTATGTTGATGATTTTAGCGACATTATATACCGGGATTGTTTAAAATTTCGCATGTGAAGTTCGTAATGGATACTTCAGCCCACGTCTTCGTATAGCCCCCATATAACTGTAACCCCCATATACGGTATTTTAATGATTTTAGCTACATTATAAACAGATTTTTCTTCAAGTTTCGCATTTAAATATTGTAATAACTTATGACAAAAGTTGCAGGAACACGTCGTCGTATAAGCGTTCGGCATTCTTAAGATATTAACAGAATTTTTAACGGATTTTATTTTTTGGAAATTGCCAAATTTGTACCAAATGGTGGAGGGTATTAAAAGTTCGGCCCGGCCGAACTTACAGCCTTTTTACTTGTTTTATCTCCAATTTTCTTTTATTTATTTTTTATCGAAAAAATAAATTACGACATTTCAAAATTCAAATTAGAAAAATTTAATGATGCTTGAAAATTTTTCAGGAGGACTTAAAATAATGATTGATAGAAATTAAAATATCAAATTTAACATAACATTTAACATATATTGATATTAATATATAAATCTATCCGATTAATCTTGCAGATCTTGAAAGTCAGTCTTTACTTGAAAGTACGCCTCATGGGCTTTCCAACGTGCTATTCCATTAGCTTGCATTATTTTTATACCGTCCACAATACTATGGAGGGTATATTAACTTTTTCATTCCGTTTGTAACTCCTCGAAATACTCATGTCAGACCCAACAAAGTATATATATTCTTGATCA